TCACATCACACCTACCCAGCGCATCTATCTACCCTCCATGTAGTAGGGAAACAGCATCTCTTTCCCTACCATTGCCTGTTCCTGTTAGGAAGGAAAAAAAAAAAAAAAAAAGGAGAAAAGTAGGGCAAACTCTGTAGCCTTTATGCAGGGAAAGTCCCATCAACTTCAGTGGGAGACTTGGCTCAGGGAGAAGTACAGGAGCCAGGCCAAAGTTTTCATTCTGGTTTTTCAGAAGCTAGTATTTCATGCTTGTAGATTAATGCCACATAGCTTTGCAAAAGTGGCTTGTGAAATTCCTTCAGCTCAGTGGACTTCTGCCATTTAATTCCTGCAACTCCCAGTCGTTGTGTTTTAAAAAAAATCTATTCTTCATTGGAACGTGTTTGCCTGAATGTGACATTAGGAATACAGCCAGCAGTGCTCGAATATACTTATACATTGGCATAAATTAAACCCCATCCTTGCTAAGGGACAGATAAGCATGAAGGGTCTCAGTGTTCTCAGATGAATCATACTTATATCATCAGTGGGTGCCTTGATTTAATGAAGCCATAGTATGTTAATGTTAACACTGCAGAAAAAGCTGAAAAGTTACAGGCAGCCATGCTAACTAGCTACAAGCATTTAAAAGCCTGGGCATGAGCTCCTACTTGGCTATTCTGGCCATAATTAATGATGACAAGTATGTTGGAAAAATAATTATTTAGCTTGCTTTTAAAGACAATTACTTTGCTTGAGGCAAATGAGGGGGTGGGATTTATGTGGCTGTAATAAGCATATGTAGATGGCATCTTCCCAGAAGAATATTATAGCCACAGGATCTTTTTAATTGACCTGAGATTCCTTTGTTCTGCAGATAGAATTTATGTATGTGGTCACAGAATAAAATGACCCTACTTGTTCTAGGGCAGGCTTAGCTCTAAACTGCTGAAAGGAAAAAAAAGACTGCTTTTATCAGCCCAATCACCAACAGATAGAAATCTCTCCTGGTCACTTTGTAGGGGGGAGAAATCTTTTTAAATTGGTACCCTGAGTGCATGCTCTTTTCATCTGATAAAATATGAGTTGGGGGTGTGAAAGCAGGCTGAGGTGAGTATTATTGCAGTCATCTGGTATCACTTCTGTGTCTGGGCTTGCATAGCACAGCAGCTTTTGCCTGGCACACCACGATGCCATCCTCTGACAGCCACCTGCCTGCTCATTTACCGTGCTGGGCTGCAGAGCCTTGGACGCCGAGCTGGAGCTGGGGAGGGAGCACCTGCTTCTCTGTCAGCTGCCACTGTAGAGCATGGTGTTACTGTGTGATGGGGGCACCTCCAGCCCTCCTGCCCACCCCTCGCTGGCATTCGGGGCTGTGAGAGCCACACACACTCTCATCACACAGTCTGTGATCACATCCTGGAACAATAAGGCAGTGTCTTGCTGCCTTTCTCTCTGAGTTTCATGCTAACTGGGCCTAGGTGGGAAATAACAGCAGGAAATCCCCCAGGGCAGTAATCCAGTGGAAAATTTCAACGTGTGCAAGCAGCTAATGACTTTTAATAGAAATCAGGAGTTTTCATGTTTGTTGTCAGTCATGTCATTGTTCGTCTAAGATGGTAAAATCCTCTTGGGCCACAGGAGAGAGAAGAGGAACCAAAAAGCTATGTGCTGGTCACCTATCAGAAAAATCTCCCTGATGTTCCCTTTTTTAATTGTGTGGTGGTTATACAGAAGTCACCATCCCTTTCTCCAGTTTCCATCTGTAAGATGGGGAAGATGGTACTGACTTTCAGTAAAGTGTTTTGAAACCTGATACTGAAATTTGTTAAAGAAAAGGCAGTAATGAAGAGTCATGGGTGCTTTTCTCCACACTGCTTAGCCTGCTGCTAATAGTAAAGTTTGTGCTCTGTGCACTCCCGAGTCACAGGATCTGAAGCTGGAGGAAGGAGGATATATAAAACAGGAGAAACCCATTAATTGTATGTTAATGTGGTTTTGGTATGATGATACATAACAGAAAAATTTAGATTTCTTGCAGTCCCAGATGTATCTAGCCCTTTCTAAAAGCATTACTAAAGGAAGCAGCCTTAACAGTGGGTGAATGATAACATTTGATGGTTTGGGTCCAATTCATTCTGTTCTGTGTGTCTGCAGATTTTTGTCAAGATGGAAATTTTTACCTGATTTCAGTCTGTTTGGAGAGCTGATTAAGGAAAGCTATGCCTGCGCAATAGAAGAGTTGCTAATACTAGAGGATAAAGAATAAACACTTCTCTCATCATGAAGATACAAGGTCTTAGGGTTTCTCTAAGTAGGCTGTGGTGGTAGGAGGTGGGGAGGGATAGAGAGAGATCCTCTGTTTCATTGCCCTGGATGAGAGATACAAATGTTTGTTTACCTGAGCTCAAAGTCCTCCCTGGAAATTGCAAGTCTAACAGGAGGGCAACCTCTGTTTTTAGCTCCAAGGGCAGAGTGAGCTGGAAATGAGGCAGAATATAGGGTACTGGAGTTAAAAGCACTAGGGTTTTGTGCAAGGTCATTAAAGGGCCAGAATCTTAGGCAGCTGGGAGGATTACTGCATTAGTCTGTATTTGACCCTGTGTTAAACTGGCAGAGAAGGGAGTTCCCTTGTGGTTGTGCTGTGGTTTTTTGGTTTTTACTGGGTATTTATTTTTTTTTTTTCTTTTCTTATTTTTTTTAATTTACTGAGTGCAAAAAGGCAGACTTAGTTCATCAGGAACTCCAGCCTGGTGTGTTGCTGAGTGTGGGGCATGCTGGCAAAGAGGAAGCTGGATGTTTTGAGGGCTGTTTGGGCATGACATCTTTTCCCATGTACCCCGCAATGATAGCATGAGGAAGTGTCATGAGGTTCAGGGATGAACTCAGAGTTTATCCTGACTGCTGAACTTCTCCTTCAAAATAACCAGATTCCAGAGCAAATCCTTTTTTTTTAGGGTCTGCTGGAAGGAATTAGGAGTGATGGAAAGGGCCCATACCCCCAAATATTTCCAGATATCCATGGAAAGATTTGTGAGACCATAAATTATGTTAAATCTGGGAGAACATGTGAGGTGTTTCTTTGATGACACAAGATCAGGCAGTATTTCCAGATTGAATATGGTGTAGATTGGGCCATCTCCAAGGCAGAGCAGTAGCAAGCTTGGGCTCCCATTCCAGGGTGATGTGTTGCTGTAGCAGCTGAGTAATACAGAAGTTCCACCTGAAAAAAATGCTTCCTCCTTATATGATACTGTACATTCCCCAAGTCCAGCCCACAGCCTGCAGTGGTTCACAGATGGCAGCTGCCAGTATCACTGACTCATAGGGACTCTTTCCTCATCTCTTTCCTTTCTACTGTTCCTCTCTGCTCAATACATGCTTAAGAACCAAATAGGATTTTACAATATCAGGTCAACCTGACCTTAGCTTGAGGTGTGCTATGGAAGAATTATTTATGCCTGAGAGCTTGTCAGCTGATTTCAAAACTATCTAATGAAAGAGCAGACAGTTGTTGGGTTGTTTGGTTCAGGGGTTTTTTTTTGTATGATGGTACAGATACAAGAACAATGAGCCTATTGAATATCATGGGATTTATGAATTCTAAACTGTGTTGAAGTTTTTCAGATGGCAAACTGAATGGATTTTTCTTGACCATAAAACTTGTCTTTCCCAAAAACTCCACATTTATTTCTGTGATGTCAACAAATGGTTCAAGAAAAGGCACAGCTATGAGCTTTCTGTCTTGTGAAATGTAGCCCTGGTTTTTACCAGGGCTTCATTATAGCATTATGTCTTCATTATGGCATTGTATATTCTTTTCCCTTATAAGGGTACTACTGATTTTCTTCATATCACTTCCTTTGCCAGTCTAGAAAGCTGACTTCAAATCCAGTCAGTGGGTAAATGGTTATAGATTACAAATGTTTTCTTCTGCTGGCAAATAACTGTTTTCTTGTATCTTAGTGCACTGATGACTTGGCAGTACCCCAAAGGCTGGAATCAGTAAAAGTCAAGAGCTAAAACACTGCTGGAAGTATGGATTATTTGCGTTTATGCATTTTCCATAAATCCATGAACCTTTAAAAGGGGTCAGTTCCATCATGAGTTGGGTCATGACACATAGAAGGACTTAAAGCATAGAAACATTAGTCTGCCCAAGGCTGTGTAGTCAAATTTCTGGCATTGTCCTTTATATTGCAAGGAATGAGGTGTTGCCTGCCCAAGCAATATGCTGTGGTTGACTGAATCAGAGGTAGGTGACTAGGAGGGGGCAAACACTGATAAATGTCATTGCTGTTAAATGTACTATCCCAACTAGATGCAATTCACAAAGATACGAAGTCAGTAGCAAACTGCCTTAAACTCTCCAGAGAGGCAGCAGAAGCAACAGGACTATGACTGAATTTCAAAATCAGGTCATCTTGGTTGAATAAAAGCTAAAGATTTTTAGGAGACCTAAAGGCAGCATGGTGGACTAAAGGGAAATAAACAGCTGTAGGAAAAAGCAATGGGGTTAAGCCCTGGTTCTTCTCTTATTACTTACTGCCCAAGAGCCTCAAAGATTTTTTTTTTTTTTAAGATAAAAGCACCGTCACACTGTTGCCCCATTTGAAAACAGGGAAACTGAGGCAAGGGGTAGTAGGATGATTGTCTGGAATCAAAACATCCTGAAGCAAGTTTTCTTGTGCCTAAGTGGAAATGAGGAGATAGCCAGAAGTGCCTAAGGACGGAATGAAGACATAACCCAGTAACATGACAGGAGATTTCCAGTGCTACATTTTCTACTCAAGACAAGAACTGGTTAATAGAATCAGGGTTTTTTACGTTATCCAAACCTGTTGTGGTTTTTTTTTCTTCTCAACATATGTTGCTGTAGCAGCTGAGTAATGCAGAAGTTCTGCCTGAAAAAATGCTTCCTCCTTATATGATACTGTACATATTGTCATGGAAATTGTCCTCATTTCCCCTGAGCACACTTTAAATAACTCGAACAGCAGTGCTAATGAGCAGAAAGATATCTGCAATCCCCACCGTGCAACTTGACATACTTTATCCCACTCTGAATTCCCTTTGCTCATCTCTGAGCATTTTAAAGATCTGGTACAATAATTTGCTTTCTCTCTTTGGTCTGTTCATTTCGCTCTTACACTTGATAATAAAAGGTCAGCTTTGGCTGGAACCTTAGTGTTGCAGCCATGCCGTTTTTTACTGCCAAATATCTTAAGAAAAGCAAGTGTCTCCGAAAGGGTAAGTCATGATATTTTTGGTGTGTTTAGTGTTGTCTGTTTTGCTTTAAATCACAGTAAAGGATTTATTTTGAATTAACAAGCGGTGGAAATGGATCTATTCATACTGCCTGTCGTCTAGCACTGGGGGTTTTGTTATGCTGTGTGCAGTTTTGGTTCGAGATACAGTGTATGTTATTATCTTGCATTTTACATTCAGAAAAGCCGACTAAGCGAGAGGATGTTTAACTCTTTAAACATAGAGCATGTGTTTTGCACAGAGATGGAATCCCTGATGCAGAGCAAAACAGCAACAGAGAATATGTGTGTTTGTTTTTACAGATAAGTTTAGGTAGGCAGCTGAGTAATGGTCTATTATTTTTTGTCTCTTTTGTACAAAAGGAACATTTTATTTTCAATCTACACTGAAATGATACCTAGTGAAGGAAGAGCACATTTCCTCTTAGCATCTTTCCTGTGTAGGGGTACCTGAGTGCATGACTCCATAGAGATTTTAGCTTGCTGTTGTAGGTTCACTTGGTGAATTGCTGTGTGGGCTTTTTCAGGAAATACTGATTTTTCTCTAGGTACACACAAAATTCTTCATGAGAGCAATCTACCTTTAGCATTGCCGAAATTGACAGTGTAGTAAACTCCCAATACACACATTGTAAATTATTTGCTTTCTTTGCATGTGTCTTCATTGTGATATTTGTTGTTTAGCCAGCAGTCCAGCTTTGGGGTTTGCATAAAGGAGAATGGCAGTGATTTCGTGTGTCTGGGACATGCATTTGTGCCAGAGGATCTGAGGAATCTAACTTGCTCACCTGGCTAATTTTACATACATAAATGCCAAGTAATATATATATATGTGTTTATTTAATATGTGCATTTCTCTAATTCCTTGTTTGAATATTAATTTTTTCTAAGGGATACATGCAAATGGGAATTGTATAGGTTTTCATCACTGCTGCAAAGTTGAGGAAAACGTTTTAGGAAAAAAGTTAAAGAAAACCAATTTGTAGTACCTTTGTGTTTTCTTCTGGGTTCCTATTTTAAAATAGGATTGCACAAGAACTAGCTGTTGAGATGTGATAATTTAGCTAAGCTGACTTGTAGGTGCTGGTTCAAACTATTTGGTATTTTGTTGAGTGAAATGTGTACACCTTACACAAATTTACACAATAATTCAGAAATTCCTAAGGATAGAATCACCTCTGTAAAGCTTTTATTAGAAGGAAGGAAAAATATTATAACTGGATTATTAACTTGATTGTGCTAAAATATTTTTTAGAGTTTTGCTGTACATGTGTACATATAAATTCCACTTTACAAGGGGGCATAGGATGATTTTTGCTCATCTCCTCGGGCACCCAGCTGTCCAGTGCTTTGCTCCCTTATAGTATGTGCCATAGTAGCAATTGTTTCTAGAAAGGTGCCTACCTCACCTGTGTCTGCACTGCAGGGAGGGGCTGATGGTGCAGCCAGGAGAGGAAAGGCTGAGCCTTTAAGAGACAACTGAGGGATGTTCAGGGAGCAGCAGCCAGTTGTACTTTGTGAGTCACTACCAACAGAATTGTCAGCCAACTGAACTGAGGCTGTTTCCTCTTGGAGCCTGTTTCTGCCAAAATCTTCCTGATCTGTGAAATCCATCAGACTGTCCAGAACACCTGGACAGGGTAGGGATCCTGATTCCTTCTGGTGCTGTGTGCTGTGTGTGTCCTTTCTCTTCTTGCTGCCAGGACAGTGTAGGAAGGGCAGTGCTAAGGCAGGGTCTGAGTGGGAAATGCTGAGGTAGCTGAGCTTCTCCATGAGCTGTTCAGGATCAGTCTGCTGCTAATCTTGCTTTGAAGAGGCTGGACTCCTGACAGCTTTTGAGCCACTTCCCATCCAGTTACTTAAGGCAATCCCCTTTAACTCCCTTTCAGAAAGCACTTAATTTGCAGAGGGTTTTACTGCCATCTGAATAAAGACATCCTTCCCAGTAAGTAAATGTGGTTGTTCAAAGGTGTTTGATGATTAGAGTGCCCTGGGCATAGCATCAAAAATGTGATTGCATAAAAACTGTAGTAGCCACAGGCTCCAGTGGATCTGACCTTGTTGTCCTCTGTGTCTCTGAAGAGGGAAGGAGCAAACCATCAGGAGCTGTGAGATGAGTGTATGATCTGTGGTCTCTTCCCACAGGTCCAGAGGGTCTAGGGACAGAAGCTGGGCTATGGACAAGTTCATGGCCAGAAATACTGGTTGAATGGGAAACAAAACTCCCAGGTAAATGCTCCTGGTTCAGCCTTGAGAGGCAACCTGCCCAGATTAATGTGAGAAGTGGTCAGCAGAGATGGGAACTGGAAACTGGAAACTGATTCTCCAAAGTCTTATAGCCCGAAATCTCAGCAAGTGCAGGATTTTGTGTCTTAGCTCTTTTGTACCAGGTTGTAGCTGGAGCCTGTTTCTTTCCAAGTGAGATTTATTCTCACAATGTGCCATTTTATCTCCTCACTAGTATTCCAGGCCAGGCCTCGCTGTGTTTTGAATTAATTCTCTATTTGTTTTTGTGGAGGCTGCAGGAGTTTCCAGACTTGCCTGAAATGAAACAACCAAGCCGAAGTACAGTGTTCTCTCTTGCTGTATATCCTTTGCTATACAGACTGCAGGGCACATGGAGACTTCTTGTACGTCTCATTTGGTGATACAGCCTTTCCCTACTCATAACATTTGTTAAACATGCAGCAATGACAGATTTGGGATTCTAAAATTCCTTTCTTTTTCCTATTATCAGTTTTAGCCTCCATCAAACTCCTATCAGTTACATCCACACACACACACCTTAAATAAGGCATCAAAACAATGAAACCATTTATTAACCTCTGCAGCCTGTTGTTAAAACCTTCGATTTTCTCATTTTTTCCAATAAATTTTTGTTTTCTTTGTCCATTCCCTGATCACTGGCTCAGTACTATTCAAAGCTGGGCTATAAAATGTCATATAGTCATAATTGTCTCTGATCTGGAAAGTCATTGTCAATTTTTCACTTATGTCTTCATTTCTAGTGGGCAAAAAGAAACTTTCAGCTTTAGGAAAGCCTTTTTCACTTTAATTCAAAAGAATTTAATAATGAATGTTTTATTGCCAAGTGGTCCTTAGTTTTCTGCAGCTGTAGATTTACAGGACTTCAAAGCTGGATGATTAAGGTGCAGTTTTAGTTTGTAGCCAGGCAAGCCAAACAATCTAAACTTCAAAGGAGGGGAGTGTTCTTTAATGTTGTGGGCTCACCCTTTGTGTTCAGCAAATGGAACTGCTGGGGAAAATGCCATGTGCAGCAGGCAAGTGATGTGGCTGCCACTCCTGGGAGAGGGTCTGCTGGCTGCTGCCTGAGAAGAGCAGCCCACACCCAGCAACCTCAGGATATTTGATAGCTGACAGCTAGGTTGTTTTTGCATGATGTCGACCTACAAGACTTTCTGCTTTGCTTTTAGTATTTTTAAAGTTTCTTTCTCTGGAGACTTCCAAGGCTGGTCATGCTAGAAGGCAGGATTTGAGCCTGAGCTCTGTTACCTCCTCTGCTTCATTTTGTCTGTGCCTGTTTTCCTCTGATGTGCTCACAGGGTGGATGGTTTTATACACATTATGAAAGTTGAGAAAGGCTGTCCTGGCAAATGGAAGCCATTCAAATTCAATCCATGCAACACTGATTTGAGGGAAATGTGGTACAGGACTGGAAATGAGGATGCTCTGCATCTATGGCAGTCGTGTTGAAAAGGGGCCACTGTTATTTTGCTCTTCTGTTAATACTTTGTGCAGTTAACCCAGCTATACATCTCCAGTTTGATACAGCAGGGTTAGAGGAGAGAAAAAAGGAGCTAGACAGAGTCATCATTAGGTGGACCTGGAAACTGTGTGTGGCTTTTCTTTACACTTTGGAGCCTAAGCAATGTAACCTAACCCTTTGTGTTTTATTCAACTCCTTATTGCACTTACCTGGTGGATGCTCCAGTTCAGAAAGTAAAACAAAAGCCTCATGATGAGGCAGAAAAGGGTCTGGATAATTCTTACTTCTTGAACTGGTGTGTTATTTACTAGGACTGTTTCCCTGACTAAAAATCAGTCTTAAAGATCCCTACAAATAAATTCATTCCATAGGTTTAGGATGCAACAAGGTGCAAGCATGCAATGGTGATACCCCATGGTGTCTGAGATGAAAGCAAGGTGCTTGGGAGTAGAGGATGAGTTCACAGACAGTCTGGATCCTGACTGTACACTTGCCTGTTCTGAGTTGTTGAGCCCCCAGGAAACAGTGTGCTGGACTCCATGGGCTGGGAGATCTGAGAGGAGCTGCCAGGACACCACAGAGACATGGCTGTTGTTCAGTAAAGGACTTGCAAAGCCACGTGGCTCTGGTGCAAATCCCTCTCATCAGTATTAAAACCTGAGTGGAGTTGGGGCTTTATCCAACCAGTATCTAGGCTTTTGTGGAATCTGTCTCCACAGGGCTCTGGGATTCAGCAGCAGAGGCCAGTGCTGCCAAGTGCTCTAGAGCAGAGTTGGCCAACACCATGCTGCCTCTCAGCGACCCATGTGCACACTGCTGGCAGAGTGGTGACTTCAGCTCACCAGTTAAACCTCTCCAAAGACAGGAGGTGCCAGGCAACCTCTGGAGCTGCTGAGTGAAGGAACAGCTTTGTGAGACACAGTACACTCCTAATTTCTGATGTGGCTTTCCTGTTTTGAGAGCACTGCTTTGATGAGAAAATGGCCTCCTTTTCTCTCCCATCCTGTGCTGGGAGAACAGCCTTCATACTGTTCAGCTTTTTTTCTTTCATTCTTTACTTTCTGCTTTCTAGGGCTGGCACTGCCCTTGCAGTTCCACACACCCAACCCTCTCAACAGTATTCCTTGCTTTGTGAGAATCAATGTTTGGTTAATCCAGGTTGCCCAGCTGTGGTACTTGTATTTTTCATTCTGACTCTGCTAGCTGATAGCCAGTATCATACTGGAAATCACTGTGTGTCTCTGTATCTCAGTTCT